GCCGTTCCCCGCTCCCCGCTCCCGCGCCTCCCCCTGCGCGCTCCTCTCCCTCCTCCCTCCCTCCTTCTCAGTCTCCGTGTCTTTTTTGCCTCGGACTCTACCTTTTATTGCTCCCCCGGTCTCCCTGTGACACACACGCACACACCGCGGACGGCGACAGTTAAACTCCACCTCCCCAAAGGCCAAGATCGAGGAGGCCAACCGGCCCCAGACCCTCGGGGCCCTCCGGGAGGGCAGCGAACAGCCGCGGGCAGCCCGGCCCTCGCTGGCTCCGGAGGGGCCTGAGAACCCCCGGAGGCGCCTCCTCGCAAACTTCCTCCCGAGCCGGACTCGCGCTAACTCACTACACACGGTGGGCACGGCGCTGGGTGGGCCCCGTGGACGCCCCCAAAGGGCCGTCGGGCGTCTCCAGGGCTTGGCGCCGCGCTCCTCTTGGTCCCCTCAAGGTGCTGGGCTCACCCCGAGACCCGGGCTGGGGCGCGGTTGGGGGAATGGCCCGAGTGCGCCCCCTGCGGGTCTCCGAGGACTGGGTCCGGACTCCCGGGCAAGTGCGCTCAGTCCCCGAGTCTCTAGCCACGAGGGCCCTACACCCTTCGGACCTGACCCGCGAGGCTGGCCCTGGGAGTACCTCGGCCAGAGTCGGCAGACCTACGTCGCTGCCGTTTGCGGGCGGAGAGCCGGCCCGACGCCTCCCAGCCCAGGCGGCCCGCGGGCTGAATTGGGATCCCCGCCGCCGCGACAGCCGCCGGCGCTGCGGTCTCGAGTACGAGCCGCTCTGCGTTCTGCCCGCGCTCCCGGCCGATCGCCCGCGTTCCCCAGGCGCGTCCTGCTCTGTCTCAGCCCCCGCCTCCTCCTCTGCCCGGGAGAGGAGGGATTTATGCCGGGAGGGGGCTTCGTAGCCGCCCCCTCCCACTGGCAGCACTTTTAAAAGCATTTAATCCGCCCGGTGCAGCCTTCAGAGGTAATTGACAAAGTCCTTAATCTGCGCTGTTAACGAGCTGCTATTGTGGCTTCTGAGCGGGAGGCGCCCACACGACCCGACGCCCCGTTCCCGGCCAGCAGCCCCCTCCCCGGGCCTCCGCGGGAGCCTGGCCGACTGCCCCTCCCCCAGCCTTCTCTGCGACTCCTTATCTT